AATTCCAGCAGCCGGGAGCTGGGCCCGCTGCCCCCGGCCGTGAGCGAGGGGGAGTTTGAGGAGATCATGAACCGCAACCGCGCCATTTCCAGCAGCGCCATTTCCAAGGCCGTGTCCGGCGCCAGCGCAGGTAATTCCCGCCTCCTTCCCAAACCCTGTCCCGGGGCGGATTCCCACTCCTGATCCCTCTGCTCCTGGCTTTCCCAGGTGACTACAGCAACGCCATCGAGACGCTGCTCACGGCCATCGCCGTCATCAAACAGTCGCGCGTGGCCGGGGACGAGCGGTGCCGCGTCCTGCTCTCCTCCCTCAAGGATTGCCTGCATGGAATAGAGGCCAAATCCTACAGCAGCAGCTCCAGCAGCAGCTCCAGGTATCCCTGTGGGTCCCACCTAACCAGATGCTGCCCCTGGATCCGAAGATCCAGCCCGGCGGGGCCCGGGGTGAGTGACTGAAAGGTGCCTCTTTGTCTTCTCGTCCCGCTCTTCTCCCAAGGAAAAGGCACCGATCCCGGGAGCGCTCGCCCAGCCGGTCCCGCGAGAGCAGCCGGAGGCACCGGGATCTGCTGCACGGCGACGAGCGGCACGAGGATTATTTCCCGGAGCGGAGCCGGGAGCACGAGCGGCACCGGGACAGGGACAGAGACAGGGACCGGCACCACTGAGGCAGGTCGGGGGCCCGGGAGCCCCGGGGGAGGAGGGACCAGGGGGGCTCTGACCTCACCCCCCCCCTTCTCTCCCCGCAGGAATTCCGCAGGAAGTGGTTTTTAATGGACTCGTATCTCCTCACCTCGACACCCCCCCGAGGCCGCTCCGCCCCATCCCGGCCCCTTCCCAGCCACTCCCAGCCCTCTCCCAGCACCTCGTGGCCTTGGGAATCCCCCCCACCTGCTGCTGCTGCTGCTTCCCGGGGCCATCCCGCTCCGCTCCGTGGACACTCGGACCCAAAGAGAAATGGTGCTTTTATTCCATGGAGGGAGGTTTGTGAGCCCTTCCCAGTCCAAGGGGGGGGAACGGAGGGGATGGAGCCCTCCCGATCCCGGGATCAGGAGCCACGTGCTGGCCTCTGGATCGCCTGGGGACACTCCTGTCCCCATCGCCCCGGCGGGACACTGGGCCACTCTCCTCCTTTTCCACCCTCGCCCTCCAGGAGTTGGGAAAAGAGGGGCTGGAGCTGGGCCGGGGGTCACCCCCTTCTCTATCCCGACATTCCCCACAGCAGCATTCCCACCTGAACGGCAGCTCCGGCCTCTCCCGCGGCACCTTCCTTGTTTTAGAGGAAGCGGAGGAGGCAGGGCAGGCTGCGATTCCCTCGGGTCCCCTCCTGATCCCTCGGGATCCCCGAGCAGGAGAGGGAGAGCCCAGGAGGGTTGGGATGAGCCGGGACACACCAGTGACTTCCAGGGCTGGAATCGCCCCTGGAGCTATTCCCAGGCGGGAAAACCCAGGCTCTGGGAAGTCTTTTTAAGTTGAACTCTCCCCAAAATCAGGAATAACACCCCCTCCCGATTTCCCAAGCCCCACGAGGTGGGAGCGCTCGGCAGGAGAGGTCCGGGTTTTTTTTACTTAAACGCCACAGATTTTTAGTTTCTTTCCAAATAGTGGAGGGGGGGAAAAAAATTCCCTCAAAATTGCAGAGCAAATCCCTGGAAGCCCCAGCGAGGAGCTGCCCCCTCCTGCTCGCAGTGATTAGATTTGTCTTTGCATAGGTTGAAAAAAATTGTGTAATAAACTCGATGACGTTGTCAAGTCTTTTACATGGCGCTCCCGTCACGTTCCTGCCGTGGGATTTGGGAAGGGGAGGGATCTGGGGAGCCTTTAGTGCCTGTTTTGCCTCAGATCGTCCTCTGAGGGGCTCCCGTGTTTCCCAAGGCAGCCCGGAGCGCTCCCACATTCCCAGGCACCAGGTAAAAATAAATATTTATTGGAAAGTAGCGAACTATTCCGGAAGGGTGTAGAAAAAATGATTCTTCGTACCTTGAGCTGGCACAAACTCGGAGGGGGTGAGTCCGGGCGGGAGCAGGTCCCTGGCACGTGCTGCAGGTGAGGTGGGAAGCAGGAAAAGCAGGAGGGATGTGTCCAGGTGGGAGTGGGAAAGGTGGGAGGGATGAGTCCAAGTGTAGAAGTGGGAAAAGCGGAAAGGATGTGTCCAGGTGGGAGTGGGAGAAGTAGGAGGGAGGATTTGTC